ATGAGCGTTAGCATGCTAACGCAAGTTAGCAGGCAGCCCAGCGAGCTGGCCCGACCTGCACGCATGCGCGAGTCACATGGTCATGCGCCCTCCAAGATCCTGTACAATGTCTCTTGCATGTCATTGCTGTTTTCGACTTTCGAGCATGCAACTTGCGGAACATGCGTTCCCAAACAATTTCCTCCACAATAATGCTCACCCTGGTGTATCTTGCTAAGCTCAATGTTAAAAGTGCATTCTGCCGAATTCCCGTCCGCCCGGAGGATTGGTCCTTGTTGATCCGCTGGCAGGATCAATACTTTTATGAGAGTGCCCTGCCCTTCAGACTGTATTACGCTCCAGTCCAGCTATATGGAACTCTGTCGCATCCACCAGTGAATGGATATGTGCTAGCAGTTCGCACTCCCACGCCTGTTGCATTACGGGGAATACCTCAACTAACGTTACTTCCTCAGTGCATGCTCTGGACTTATGTTAGCTTGCCAGCAATTCGCTATTCTGCTCCGAGCGTTTACATACTTCGATGTTTCTCTGGCCCCAGCAAAAGTGGAGGGTCCAGCTCAAGTCCTGACGTTATTGGCATCATCCCATTACGGGGAGTACCTCGACTAACGTTTCTGTCTCCATGCATGCTCTGAACTTGTGTTAGCTCGCCAGCAACTCGCTACTCGGCGCTGCGCGTTTACATACCTCGGTGTTTCTCTGGCGTCAGTAAAAGTGCTTCCTCAATGCATGCTCTGGACCTGTGTTAGCTCGCCAGCAACTTGCTACTCGGCGCCGCGCGTTTACATACCTCGGTGTTTTCTCTGGCGTCAGCAAAAGTGGAGGGTCCAGCCCACGTTCTGATGTTTATCGGCGTCATCCTGGACACCCGCCGCGCTAACATCAGTATGCCTATGGACGAACTTGCCGAGCTTCGTGATCTCCTTCGGGCCACTCTTCACACAGCTTCAACTACCCAATGTCAACTCGAGTCTCTTCTGGGAAAGCTCCCGTTTGCTACAAGAGTGATAGCCCCTGGATGCAAATTGCAGATTGTGGTCACTTGCCAACTGGTACCGGCAGCCGTATTACCTGATCAAGCTCTCCAAAGAGTGCCTCAAAGATCTTCGCTGATGACCTGAGCTCCTGGATTAGCGGAACGGCCGGTCCTTCTTCCTACACCCTAAATGGACGCCGTCCCCCGACTTGCTGGTATTCACTGATGCAAGTGGTGCACTTGGCCGGTGCTCGTACAATTGCGACCGGGGATAGGGCAATGGACAGTCAATCAAGCAGAGCAGCAATCGCAAAGGGTTGTTTGCAATTGTGGCAGCCCGCAGCACCTGGGAAAACTAGCGGCATCAGCTGCGAATGCCAATCGATGGGCATTTACAGCAACTGCGAGGATATTGCTCATCAGTTGTGGCTTTGGCCTGGCGTTGTACACCGGCCACTCGTTT